ATTCGATTCCTTCATTCATGGAGGCGCAAGTTCGCAAGTGCGTAGAGGGCGCGCCGCCCGCTCTCCGCCCGCCCTTCGTCCGCCGCGATGACGTCAAAGATACCTCACTACAGATATAGGAGCATGCCCCAAGTTAAGACTTTTATTTTAAGCAGACTGATAATAAATTCATAAAACACTCTTTATAATTATAATGTCATATGTATTGTTTGTAAACGTTATTAATGAAATAACATATTTTCGATTGTTGAAAAAGCTAAATATATTGGTTATTTTTTTACTACAACCCGATATTTTGCAATTATAACGATTCTTGTGCGTTATTTAATGTGTACTAATCTTGTTATGCGATTTTATTAAAATTGACCTTTTTTGGCCCTATTTTCGTAGTGTGTTTTGAAAAATTATAGTATGATAATCTATATATCAATTTTTTTTTATAAATACATTACTCATAAGTTAAAAAACCATAATACATAGCGAATTATGGCATAAAAATAATTTATATTTACCTTGGGTGCGACGCAAGTTATTGGAAAAGTTTGATAAAAATAATTACTTCTTCAAATGAATATCATAAATAATTATTTTTTATATAACAAGGCTTAGTTACGCTGAGAACCAAGAACATTTATACCGAATAATTGTTAATATACTAATGACATTATTAGCTGAATATTCTGAATTGTATTTAATGACTGAGGTTTAAATATAGAAATAATTCTAGGGCAATGATATAAGTCAAACCCAGCACCACAATGGTGCGTGCTGTTGCTCTTACCAACACAAGCACCATGTTGGTCTGGAGAGATTCTACCTGCAGTTTCTCAATGTTTAATACGCCGAACTTGTTGAATTCTTCTATCGACAATAAACGCTTGAAATAAACGAAAAAATCGATGTTTGGATAAGTCACACGTCACCGAGGTTATCGACCCCATGGTTAGGTCAATTACTAGTCTTCGTAGAAAAATTGCTTTTTCGTAGAAGTAGTATTTTGTGTTTATGTTAAAAGAAATCCTCTTCTATTTTACTTATTTTGTAGCACAGTACTCATCAGGTGTTTTTTTGATACAAGAGAACAGCACGGGGTTTACTTGATGGAAGGTGATAAACCCTAGGTATAAAACATCACAAAATGATGCGCTGTCGGCCTATTATTAGATATTTCGAAATCCACAGATGGAAACAGACATGTAATTACAGCTTTTTTTATATGTGGAGGATGGTGCACTTTCGATAGTCCTACGAGCCATTTGTATAGATTCCCAGACGTAGTTTGAAAAAAATATATGAATTGATAAAAAAACACATTGCTGCCGTTAGACTCACGAGAAAAATTGTAGTATATCACAACACTCAATCAATCAATCGTTTCCTTGGGATTCGAATCCAGGACCTCTTGTGATTATCGCTAGATAAAACTTTTAACAACGGAGGCAGTCATAAAAGTATTGTTTGTTATCTGTTTTTTGTTTATCATATGGTGGTACATATTTTTACGTCTTGAAAAATTTTGGGGCACTTAAATTTTCGAAGATTTTTGTTATACTAGTCTCTGATTGGACAATTATTCTCGACCGCATGCCCGTGGCATTGAGGCAGTGTATTAATTAAGGCTTGCGGCGTTGATCCGTCAAAGAGATAAAGTGAATTTACGATTTAATTTATGCAGGTATACGTTACTTAATTCAATAAATATCAGTTTGCAAAATATCTTTGAAGACAATTTTAGGCGACCTTAACAAATTAGTATTTTTTTAATTATTCGATGTTATACTGTAAAGCTTCCAAAACGTAGAGTCGTAGTTAAAATATGTTAATTAATTTCGCGATTTAAACCGTTAAAAATGTCTTATTTAAATTAGTTACAGATATTAAATTGGAAGGTTTGAATTTCATTCTTGTGTCTTTGAAATGCACTATCACGAGTGATTTCTTTATTATCATATAACAATTGTAGAGAATCAAGTTCTTAATAAGTTATATAAAAAAATCACATGCTATTTCCACAAGAGGCTACCGAATAAGTAACACTATTATAAAAATAAAACAACAAATACAAAAAAAAAAACTAAGAAATACGTCTTAATTACAACATTCAAATAAATGAATGTAATTAAGACGTAGGATTTCTACTTAAATAGACAGAAATATGTCGAGTCATTGTGCTCAAAAGCCTCCGCTTCGAAACATTTCAAATAAACCAGTAATTTATTATTATTGAAGGAACGAGTCACCGTGAGCAAATGCAAATGATAGATTGCGAATTTTTCTTAGTTATGCATATTAAAAGTACATTTCTAAATATTTCTTCTTTCAGTAGTTTAAATAATATATATTTTTATCAAGACAAGTCAAGACTTGAAAAGCTGGGAAACACAACACTCTTGGTAATTTTGAAGTAAACTTATTGGTAGTGTATATTTAACACATTAGATGTCTGAAATTCAAGTTCCGCCAATTTAAAATCATTAAGATTTTCCAAATGTATTTTACTTGTAAATTATTTTAGTAATACATATAATATGAATAAAATACTTTAACGGCTTAAAACGCGATATATATTAGTTAAACTTATTTGAAAATCATCAAACGCAAAAAAACCGTTAGTGAATTCTGCAAGGACCAGGCCAGTTTTGCCAAATACCGACTTCGAAGGAACAGGTGGCGCTAGCGTAGTAGTTTTTTTAATTTGACATCTGAGACACCCTAATCGTCGCGGAATAATTTTCAAGTAAGTTTAACTAATGTACATCGCGTTTTAAACTGTTAAAGTGTTTTATTTAAATGTGTACTACTCGCGTAAACTACAGACAGTACTTAATACATCTTAGTCTGAATTAAGTACGTAAATACCTGAAATTCAGTTTTAAGAAGTACCGTTCAACGACTTTAATTATATAATTACAGGCGTAATAAAAGCCTTTATTAAAGTTAAATTTAATCTTGTACTATGACGCAATAATTTACGCAAGAAAAATAATAAAGAAGAAAGTTAGCGAAAGTTAGCTGCGAGCGTGCGTACTTAAGGCGGCTAATTCGATTTTATTGTGAAACTTCTCGTATTATCTGTGAAATCCACGGAAAATTGTACTTAGGGAAAACATGTATGGATGGAATTATGTAAAACGACCAACTGAAAAGATTACGAGTGACAAACGAAACCTGTACGATCTAGACCTAAACACGTTCATATTCGGAACTAGTTGATTGATCTACTTGCCTTTAAATAATCACAAAGCTAAAGAAATATTATGCCCTAAATTCATCGATCAGCATGGTAAAAAAAGTCTAATTGATGACTTTAATTATTCATCTTTTCTTCTTAACTAACTAACTAACTCGACTTTTAGATCTTAATGTCTATAGTACTCGAGTAAAACGCATTCTTAACTGCTTAATACGCGCAACACAATAATAAAGATGAAACAGATGGCGCTAGCAAAGCAGAATGTAGACAGACATTAGTGATGCCCTCTATCTTTAGCGCCTTCGTGTATACAGCGATTGCAGGGATCCTAGTTGAGTCGTAGTCAAAATAAGGTAACTAATATATTTGGCGTTTTAAACCGTAAAATATACACATTCGAGTATTTGACTTAGACAGCCAAAACAAGGCTGTAATCCTCTAGTGACCCAGTCTTTTAAGAATGTATTTTGCAAGATTAGTTTGCGTGCGTACACAAATGACTGACGATCATGTTTGTTTGTATCCAAATATAGATTGTTTGTCTCACGTGAATAAAACATTACCGTTAAAGCCACAAAAATGAATATTATTGAGGGCTTGAAACTCTTTTTACTAACTATAAAAAATATTTTGGCGTTATAATAATATAAAATTTATTTTTCGTTCGATTCATAAAGCTTGATATTTTGTTTGTGAAACTTACGCATAATGATACTTTATTTTATTGCTAAACGACCTCGTAAAAACAAGTGTCTTGATTGTAAGTATAGTAAGTGGTGACTGTATTTGCGAAAAATGTTAAAAATAATAATTGACGTAAGCATAAATTGAATGCGCAAAAATTGGTGAGCTTCTCCTAGATTTTTATGAAATTACAATAAAACACTTTAACGGTTTAAAATGCGATACATATTTGTTAAGCTGTCTATAGTTTACGCGAGTAGTACACATTTAAATAAAACACTTTAACGGTTTAAAACGCGATACATTAGTTAAACTTATTTGAAAATGATTTTTAACTTCGGCCCGACGTTTCGGATGCTTTGCAGCAGTCGTGACCAGCCGTTTTAAGTAACGATTTAAAGTGTTTTATTTAAATGTATACTACTCGCGTAAACCACAGACAGTATTTAAATCTTATTTACAAATTATTTTTTATAAAGACCTATACAAAAAAATATTGTCGAACAAATCCAGAATCAGATTAGGTTTTTTTTATTACATTCAGTAATGTCACGCTTGAAATTACGTAGAAATTCAATGAAACCGAGTCGTGGCCAGATTTTAAAGCCGCAAAGGAAAGCTTTCAAGCTTCAGTGAAATTTTTCGCGAAAGTGTAAATCAATTACGTTCAGAAGCAATTTGGTATAAGTGACACCGTATTCCACTGAATTCACAAGCTTTTAAAATCTCCTTGTGACCTTTAGAAGCTGAGTAATTATACTTTTTGGATGGTTGAATTTGAAGCGGTATTCTCAACTGCGACTAGACTTTACATTACAATATATTTTATTTTAATCGAATATTGCTTTCATTTTTAAGGATATTGATACCAATTTGCTACGAAAACTGATTTTCAACTTGCTATTTTCCTATCATTATCAATACTAATATTATAAAATTAAAGAGTTTGTTTGAACTCGTCATAATACTAGTCTTTTCTCTTCCAGGTACCACGTCCACCATAAGTGCGGCCGCATTGCGCAGTGTTTCCGTCTAAATAATGTGGTCGGGCGCGCGCCCGGCTGATCGCGTACCGTGTACTTAGTACAGGGCGATGCGTAGGTGGGGAGCGGCCTCAGTCACCATGCGGGTGTGCTGCGTTACGACGGTGATAGCGGCGCTCGCGCTGCGCTCCGCCGCCGAGCCCACGCGCCGCTACCCCGCAGAGTGGCGCGCCGACCTGGCGCTACGATCTCGGCCGCTGCACGAGCTGTTCGACGAGACGACGGCTACCGACCCGGAAAGGAATTACGCGCAACCGATGCACAATAAGCGACGCACGCGCACGAATAAACGGGCGCCGCGACTGCCAGGGGAAGTCGCGAGCCAGATGATGTTGCGCGCCGCGCGTTCCGGCCGACCGTACGATGTTCCTCAGATAGGTGAGTTCCTTCCTGTTTACATCTACTTTAGAAACAACGGACACTTCTATAAAAACTTTTCCTCACGAACGAAAAGACATATTTAACATAACCACGCAATTATTCCAATTCTGTAGCTTAGCCATAGTATGAGATATTTTTGTGGTGCGTGCGTGATACTTTTTACTGACGTCAACAAAAACTACGTGTTTACAAAGATCGATGACATTTTTATACATTATTAGTGAGACTGTTTATGCCATTAAGATAATCATAGGGCATTGTTAGCTCCTATTATTACCACCTACGGCAGATATGGAACACGTATTCACTACGTGTTCCATATCCTTAATATTTAATTAATACTTTTTTAATTTCGTTATGCCTTCCAGTCTTCCAGTGACGTAAATAAGCTAAATAAATCTATTAAGTTTTTGGCATCGATCAAATATGCTTGTCATTTCATAGTAATTTAAATTGACATAAGAACGCAAATGTTTTGGATATATATAAAAATTTAGTACTTTTAGTATTTTTTCAGTCACTTTATATTCACAAAGTTACCACCGTAACTTTTACGTCACGATTCAGTTAGCAAGCGTGTAGTTTTATTCGTGAAGCTAAAAGGATTTCACGGTCGTTACACTTCCTGAAACTTCCTTTATGTTGACACATAGAAACAATCCTTAGACCTTGAAGGATCTCTAAGTAAATTACATGGTATATGTACATGCATTTCCCAATCCAAGATAAGATGTTTTATTTAATTGTACACCTTAAAATCGAAGTGTTTTATGCATGGAACATATTTTTATTTAATTGTTGCGAAAATGGGACTTCAGTGTCCCATGTATATAATTTTCACATTAGGGATAAAGATTTTCCCTCTAAGCACCGTAGAGAGCTAGTAGTGTATTTAGTGGTTCTGGTCGATTATACGATTTACCACACTCCCCACGTAACACTTGCCCGATCAGTTACAAAAAAAAAGGATAAAGATTTTATCTTAATCTACGAGACTCAAAATACTAATGACGGAGGCTTCCTGTATGTTTTAATGATAAAAAATATCGTTTTTTTATTAATATACTTACCAATTGCTGGTGCAAATTCATGAGTTTTGAGTATAAGCTCATTTTTGGTTTTATTATAATTAAAAGAAGTTTAGCAAATGCAATGATAATTTAAAACAGAAAATCATAAATAACTGGACTATACGTCACCCGGACTAAATTACGAATTCAAAGCAAGCGTCTTAAAGAGTAGCTATTGGATCAAGTAATATTCGATTCAGTGGCTCATCGTAACTTATGCAATATTCAATAAACAGATTGAATCTGACTAAGTTATAAGATAAATGTCAGCTTTATATTTGTGTTTCTTGATTCTGATATTTTTCGTTTACTATTAAAATAAACTCAACAATGACATTTCGATCTCACTTCGTATCAATATTATTAGCTTTATATTTATTTATAATATCAAAGATTATAGCATTTGCTATGCCCAAAATCAATATTTTCATGCTAAGCCGATCATCGAGCTTTTGAACTAGAAAATTTTGAAATGAACAACATGACTTTTAGTAACTTATATATGTATATGAAGAAAATATAATGTGAGAGTAAAAATTCACCTTAAGAATTATTAATATACTCTTTAGCTTAAATATACAAAGTTTGTTAATTTGAACGCGCGCTAATCTCAGAAAGTACGGAGACAAATTAAAAAATATTTTTCTGTTGGTTAACACATTTATTCAGGAAGATTTTAGGCTATAAAACATTATGATGCGAAGAAACGGGGACGTTGTTGCTAACACCTATAATTTATAAAGATGACGTTTGGAAAAAAAAATTGATGCCCAAAATAACTCTTATACGCGGACGAAGTCGCTGACACAGATGATATACGGTTCATTTATAATAAACTTATTACTCAGTAAAAAAATAATATAATCACCTTCAATAACTGGACAAAAGGAGTGACTTGGGTCAACAGAACGGCAAAGAAGATTTGGCTATGTTAAATTTCTTCAGCAAATACCTTTAACAAGCTTTTAATTGTTTTTTTAAATCGTTCCATAAGTTTTTTAATACAAAGAGTTGATAGACGCAGGGGGATTTAAAAGAGCTTTTAAAGACGTAGTATGTCTTAAGGATAAGGTAAGAAATTATGTTAAATAAAACGATGTATGTAAAAAAAAAAAAAAAATCTCCATTTCGATTTGACTTTTATAGTGCCGAGGTAAACGATTTCAATTTTATTCACGGATAAACCTCTTTTCAGTTCGGAGTCAGTGGTGTAAAATTTGTTAACTGTTACAAATGAATCACTGTGCAATAGGTGAAAATCCGTTGTTCTCAAAAAATATCACAGGCTTTTTATATACTATTACATTTTTCGTATAGTGCATTCACATTATTCTACGAAAATTATATTCAGTAGATCTTTTGTTCAATATTCAGATCAGGCATGTATGTATTTCTAAGGAATATTATCTCTCTATTTCGTATAGACTCAAAGTACGTTTTGGATTGAATCTAATCTAATTTATTGAATTTTCAAATAGTTATTTACGCGAATAGTACACATTTTAATAAAACAGTTTTAACGGTTTCAAACGTGAAAACTGTCAATCAATAAGTTAACTAATACATTTTGGGCGTTAAACCTCAAAGAAGCTGCTAATCTTGAAGTAAACCTTATACTGACTGTCTGCGCTAAATGCGAATCTACATCTATGTCTAGTGCATTTCAGTTCTCATTAATGTATTTATTAGGTATAGTCTATCTCGAGGGAAAGCCAGGATATTTCTTGTCTAGCCAGTGCCGACTTTCATCTTTATTATTTCTTGAAATAGTTCAGTGAACTCGAACACTTCTTCCCTCTTTGTGAAACCTTTCAATATTTGAGACGTAGCTTAAGGTTCCAAATATAAAATTTATATTTGGAACCTTAAGCTTCTTTCCTGCCCTGGCTAATTTAAATTGAAAAATTCAGCACTTTATGGCAAAAATGATAGTGCGCGGCTGACGTCGTGGGTAACAGCTCAAATGTATAGAGTAAAACAACTGGTTTGCAAAAATAAAAATTGATATCCAAAATAATTATTCTACGCGTACAAAGTCGCGTGACTCAGCTAGTTATTAATACGGCAAAGCCGACATTAATAAAGTAGCAATACATAAACATTACAATGAAATATAACACAGGTGTCAAAGCAGACACTTCTTTCAACACGGTGGACAATTCATCTGCGAATAATAGTTTGAATAGCCGAAAGAGAAGAGCCGGTTAGACCTGTACGCGCTTCCAAGAATATTTTGATCTTTTCAAAACTTGTATTTTAGTAATGCGTCATTGCAAACAAAACTCACAAAAGTAAACAGCTAAATCTAATTGTGTATCTTCAGAATCCTTCGAAACACTTCGACAAATATTTGATTTATGGCAAACTTGTAACTTTGTATCGAGAAACACTTTGATTGTATTCGACGATACTTTTTACTTCGCTTAATAATAACATACATTATGTGATATAAAGTTTGTGTAAGTCTATGAGATAGAAGTCGACAAGTTTTCTATTCAATTCAGCTGGTAATAAAATAATTTCATCGCAATAATTCGTGTTTTTGACTTTTGACATATATTTTTTATATTGTATATTACTATTTCATAGTTGTAAAAATCGACTCTTTCTTCTTTCTTTTCTTAGGATTAATACATTATTATTATACACATAATGTCTTTCATTCTTAATACACGAAAAGTACATTGAAATATATAAACACGCGGTTTATAAGATCATAAATTATTTATCAACTTACTCTACGTATCATTATATTGTAAACACATTTCTCCAATAATAAGAAACAGAATCCATTGTTTTGAAATAAGGTAATTAAAAGAATAAAACTGCTGAACCAAAGGAGACTCCAACCCAAAATGTTCATCAATTCTGTGTAATCCGAAATGATTTTGCAATTTTTATTATTGTTCTTAATTTTTCTTGTATAAAATTTTCATTCTTTATGTAACTTCCAAGAATTGCTAATTGTAAATTAGAAACAGCGCAGACAGTAAAAATAACCCTTTAATGGTTCATAAAAGCGTAAATCTTGTAATATTCCGTTGGAAATTAACATAAATTGTACCGTGGGCTCTGATTATACCGACAATGATGAATTCGCCATTTCCGCTTTTTGTTAAGGCTTTATTGTTAACACATAAGATTGTTGGCGATATACAAAATTACTCCGCGCCTATTACTTACATGGAATTTTCAGTTAGTGGTCGTATTCAATTTGTTTGAAATTTTACAGGTAAGAATTAAGGAATATGAAGTCTCTAGATCTGCCATTCTTTTCGCTTGATATACCGAAAAATAACGCAGCATACGTCCCTTTAGAGAAGCAGATTATAGATTAGAAACTAAACATACTTAGCACGTTCTTATTATACCTTAGCGCTCCCTCGACACATTAAACGACTATCCACAAGTTAACACCTAATATAGATAACATCTTACTCTACTGTTTTAAACACATTAGTATTCAAATCAAATCAAACGGTTTAAACCTTTAAATTGTTTTATTTAAATCATTGATAATGTATAAAATAATATTCATACATCATTAATTGTTTTTTACTACAGTAAGATATTTCATTAATTCACAAAATTAAATCACAAAGATCAGTAATTTTTGTGCTACGCAATAGTGAATCATTTAAATTATAATTTGAAAAAAAAAATACGACTCGGCCAGGACTTGAACCGGCATGCACAAAAATACACTGATAATATACAATAAGTTAAAAGTAAAGGTTGGTAAAAATAAAAAGATATCTATTTGAGGTTAACAATATCTATACTAATATATAAAGCTGAAGAGAATGTTTGTTTGTTTGAACACGCTAATCTGAGAAGCTACGAGTTCGAAAAACTTTCGAACTCGTAGCTTCTAAAGCATTTATCGAGGAAGGCTATATATAGGCTATAGAACGCTGTGACTAATAGAAGCGAAGATACAACGGGAAATGTAAACAAAAAGGAACGGAAATGTAATAAAAACAAAACGCTGCGAACACTGTTCAAGATTATTT